TTGTGGTAACACATGAAACTTTAAGTCGCAATACAATATTATAAATATTAGCATTTAGCTAATTCCTGATACTGCGGGTAACAGTAATATACAGGGTGGCCCATAAATCACTTTACATTTTAAAAATTAAGTAACTTTTTCTTAAACGTCTGTATTTAATTAATTTTTTTTTTATTACAAAGTTTAGTGTCTGTAAGTTAGTTCTGACTTAGTTACGAAAGATAATGTCTCTTAAATAGCCTCCATTCTCGTCTTCACAATGTCGAGCTCTTTTTAAGCTACTCTCCATGACACTACTTAACATCTGAGGTTGTAGGGAAAGAATTTCCTGTCGTATGTTTGCCTTAAGATCTTGAATAGTTCGGGGCTTATTTGCATACACTTTGTCTTTAAGATATCCCTAAAGCCAAAAGTCTGGTGCTGTCAAATCAGGAGAACGTGGAGGCCATTCAAAATCGGATTTAAGAGAGATTATCCAATCCTAAAACATTGCAGTTGACAAGTGCATTGTAGCTCTAGCGGTATGTGCAGTTGCTCCATCATGTTGCCACCAATACCCTGCCATGTTTGCTAACTGAGGTTGAACAAAATTCGCTAGCACGTCTCGATATTTCTCAGCAGTTACAGTCGCAGCATTTTCATTTACATCTTTAAAGAAGAAGGCCCCAATAACCCTTTCTGATGTTACTCCACACCATGTTGTGACTTTACCCGAGTGTAATAGACTCGCATGAACTTGGTGTGGATTTTCGGTGCCCCAGAATCTGATATTCTGCTTATTCACATGTCCATTCAAATGAAAATGAGCTTCATCTCCCATTATTAACTTGTGAATAAATTCATTGTCGTTTCTTGCAGTTCTCTGAAACCTGACAGCATAATTTAGTCGTTTCTGAAAGTCTGGTGGTTGTAAAGATTACACTAATTGAATCTTGTAAGGGTATATCTGTAAATCTCTTTAAATGCGCTGCAGAGAACTCCGTGAGATACCAAGTTCTTGAGAAGGCCTTCGAGTGGATGTGGTTGGGTTCTCTTCAATGCTACGGCTCGCAGCTTCAGTATTTTCACGTGTACGTGCTGAACGACCTCGTCCACTTCTAGTCCTATCACTTACAGAGCCATGCTCTTGAAAACGCGTCACTAAGTTTATTATTGCAGGTCTACTACGGGGATGTTAAAAATTAAAATGTGGCATAAACAATCTTTGCGTTGCAACAATTGACCGTCCATTTTCAAAGTAAAATTCAATTATCTTCACTCGTTGTTCAGTCGTAAACTTATCCATTCCAAATATTTCCAAAGATTTTATTTTTTTAATTCTGAAAAGAGAAATAGAAATAAATTAATAGAAAAAAAGTTATTTAATTTATAAAATGTAAAGTGACTTATGGGCCACCCTGTATATACTATATAGCTCTAGTTTATCTATTGAGCACTCTTTAAAATATACATTATTATACATGATAATATAAAGAAATCATCTTTAATATTTACATGTATGCACCCACGTATATATATATATATATATATATATATATATATATATACCATATATATATATATATATATATATATACCATATATATATATATATATATATATATATATATATATATATATATATATATATATATATATATATATATATATATATATATATATATATATATATATATATATATATATATATATATATATATATATATATATATATATATATATATCGTTATTAATACTCTAGAAAACAGTGCAATAAATCTTTTTCAAAAACAAAAATTTCGGTAACCTCAGAAAAGTGTCACCAATATAGCAAATTAGCAATAAAGTAATTTAGAATGGAGATTAAAAATCAGCTTGTTGATTACTAGTAATAGAAAGCGGCTTAACCGGATAGATTTGTGACAATCAGTTGGCCGTGAAAATCAATATAGTATTGATATTCGATTCTACAGTACCTGCGATAACCAAAAATTAAAGCAATTAAACCTGAATTCTGTTTCAGCATGCTGGAATATGGGAATCAAAGACATGTCAAAGTTGTTTATTCTGTAAGGAAGTTATTTTTATAATAAATGTGAAAAAGCTAATAATTTGGAATAGTCCCAAATTGTGTTAAACTTTTTATGAAACTCATTTGGTTTTAAATATGTATGTGGTTCAAAAATACAATAAAAGAAACAAGTGGAGTAAAAAAGAAATTTCTACAGTACTTTTGGCTGTTCGAGAGAAAATAATGATCTTTTTAAAGAAAATTTGTATAATATTTCCAAGACTTTGTTTAGATTTTTCAATAATATTTCCAAGACTTTGTTTAGATTTTTCAATAATAGGACTTCTTCGATCGGTGAAACAAAAGGTTGTTCGGAAACCTTTATTAAGTAAGAAGATTAAAATCCAGCTTGTTGATAACATACTAGTAATGGAGAACGTCTTGACGCGGTTAAAGATGAGACGATTAGCATATTAGTTGGCCGTAAAAAAAAAATTCAGTAACAACATTTGAGGGTTTTCTAGACGATATTGGTTAAAAGAGTTAATGAAGCGAATCGAGCGAATTTCTCTACAAATTAACCTTGCTTGAAATGTCCCAGACAATTCAATCAAAAGCGAATGGATTTACAAAAATAAGAATGTATATGTTTTTCATCAATTTGGAGAAAAATTATTATTCTTCTGTCCTACTGCTTTTCTTCTTCAATGAGAGTGGTTTCTCTATAGTGTAGACCAAAATACCAAAAATTGCAGCTTGTTAGGGTAAAAAGAAAATTAAAGCAATAACATCAGCTGAAAGAGGTTCTCTTATTACCATAGAAATTAAAAAGGAAAAAAAAAAAATAAGAAGGAAAATACGTTTGAGAAGAAATTAATTTTCTGACTTTGAAATGTTGTTGGTGACAACGAAGTTGTTAAGAAGTGAAATTTCTGACAAATATCTGACATTATTGCAAATAATTTACATAGCTTCAGATTTTGTTAGGTGCAGGTAAATTAAAATATCATATTCCAAAAAACCTGCACTTTATTTATGATTTTTGCCACTTTTTAAATAATTTTAAAACTTTACTTATTTTTTTAATTCATAAATAATTTTTAACTTTAATTGATAAAGAATTTTTCTGACAACTAAGTTCTGTTTTGTTTTAAATTTTAGTTTTTTTTTTTTATTTCCTAAAATGAAATTGGTATATCAGATATGCTGCACTTCTTTTAAAGAATTTAAAGTATACTTACTAGAAATTGCAAGTCACGGTATTATAAATAATTTTTAAAGTACACTTGAATTTTTGATACATATTTTTTTTTATTTTAATTGATAAAGGATATTATATTTTAATAAGAGAATGAGCAAGCTGAAAAGTTTAATGGTGCCATAATGAAACCTATTGAACTTGCAACCAGACAACACAAGTTACCTATTAAAGTTTTGGAAAAAGTATTTCCAAATACTCTTTGCTCTCTAAGATCTTTTATAAATATTAAAACAACAGTGACACCTCATAAAAGAATGTTTAAGCACCTGCGTAAAAAAGCTACTGGATGCACCGCACCTGTATTTCTATAATGAAAAAACTGCAGAAAATGTTGTAATTTAATACTTTTGAATTTAGATTAGAAGAACTTATTAGAATTAAGATTGATATTAATCTTAGGACAAGTGCATCACGAAAGCTGGAGTGACTTTAATGTTTAATAATGGGTTAAACTTTTTCTCTGGGATGACAAAAGTTTGGTCATTAGATTTAAGCGACGAATTAGAGGAAAAGTTCTTTGCAAGTAATTCTATCTTATCTATGATAAAGCTAATAAAATTAGAATCATGTATTAAAGATGGAGTGTTAGATTTGCCTTTGTTATCACTGTTAAAGACTCTCTAAAAACTTCTAGGATAATATAAAAAATTTGGTAAACTTTGAATAGAGCCTAACGCAAGACAACACCTTTTTGTATTGATTTTTACAACAATAAAAGCTTGATCGAGTAGCAATCAAACATAACTGTTGTCACAATGTGATTGAAAACTCGCTCACTGGCTCTGTCCAGCACCACATGAACTATTATTATTACTACAACAATTACAATTATATATATATATATATATATATATATATATATATATATATATATATATATATATATATATATATATATATATATATATATATATATATATATATATATATATATATATACACACACACACGTATAAAACAGAATATATAACTAAAATTAGTAAGTTTGTAAAGTGAGAGCAATTTCTTTTGAAAAAAAGTTAAAAAGGAAGAAATACAGCTCTCTGATAAAACATAATCTCTTAAATCTAATAACCAAAGTATATACAAAATTCATACAAAAAAATTTATCTCAACTAGTGATTTCAACATAAAACAAATATATGCTCAAAAAATACAATTCTAACAATAAAATTTAAAAAAGTCACATGTAACACCTAAAATTAAAATTAAACCTGAAAAATGTCTCGTTATAAAACTTTTTAACTTATTTTTCATTTAAATAATTTGCTTCTCAGCAAATATTTTTTAGTAGAAGTTCAGTGGACATATATAGGCATTTTGAGCGGTCCACTGAAGTTTTGCTCATTAGTTACTTAATTAAGCATTAGTGGCAGCTAATAAAAGAAGCTAACTGATGAATAACCACTATATCAGGTTGTAAAGTTATCAGCTGGATACTTATAGCAGTTGCCACTAATAAACCACTAAATAACCAATGAGCAAAACTCCAATTAACCACAGAAAGTACTTATATAGGTCAACTGCAAATCCACTATGAAAATGTATGATGGGTTTGTTTGAATTTAAAAATGTCTTCTTTGTCCCATTAGTTTTTAATTTCTTAAAACTTACGTTATTTTTTTATAAACTTATATTTTGGAAACATTACAATGTCAATATCTATAATTTTTTAAAAATAGATTGACAATAAATTTTTTTATTAGAAAATCTTTTTAAAGACAAGATTTTCTTATAAATACTTACAAATTACATCACATGTATTCTAGTAATAAACAACTGTATAAATACAAAGTTTTCACAATTCAAAACTGTGGCATAATAAATAAAATGTTAAGATAACAAATATAAATTGAAAATTTATTTAAAACTTGTATCTTTGTTTTTAAAAAACTTAATGATTAAATTTTTCTTCAAATACTTGAACTCTATAATTCAAACTATCAGCTATATAAACTTTACCATTGCATACAGAGAGACCTTTTGGAGAATGAAAATGACCACATTTGAATCCTGATTCTCCAAAGTTATCAATAAGGTTTCCATTTTTATCAAAAACTTGAACATTGTTTAAGGTTTCGTCTGCAACAAAAATACGCCCTGAGTCATCTACATCTATTCCAGAAGGATTTAAAAAACAACCATTATTCATTATGTGAGATCCGAAGCTGAAGTCATGCTGTCCGTAAATATTAAAGACATGAACTTTAGAACTACATGTATCTGCTATGAAAATTCTCTCGCTTCTACTGCTCCAACATAAAAATTGAGGATAATCTAATTTATCAGCGCCTCCAAAAGTGTGTAATAAATCCCCATTTTGCTCACATATAGTGATGTTACAAGCTTTTGAATCAGACACAATAATTTGTTTGTTATTTGTAACACATATGCCTGATAGTTCTAATGACTGTGGCAAAAAAATCTCACTGTTTATAAAATTTTCAACACCTACTTTGCTACAAATATGGACTTTTTTAGATAAGTGATCAGTCACAAAAAAAGTTTCTTCAAGCAATGAGACATCAGTAACTGATGGAAATGAATGTTTGAACAGTACTTTATATGGTAAAGTAAAACTGTTTATAAAATCGTCAATTGAATATATGTTAACTACTCCTAGTTGATTGTCAGAAATTAATAAACTAGAATTGCTTGTGGTAATTCCACATGGATTAAGTCGTGTTATTTTGTTAGCTTTTATTTGGTTGCTTTTACCAAAGTCGTTTGTACCGTAGCAAAAATTAAAGCTTAAACCATAATTATCCAAGCATTTTATATGTTTAAATGATGTCCCACAAGGTCTGCAGTCAGCATGATTTACCATAATAAAAGACAAATCGTTTTCTTTTTCATCCATATTTTAATTATACGCAGTGGATAGCCTACCGAAAGTCGGTAGCGGAAAAATAAAAATTATCCTACCGAAAGTTTTTTTTTATTGGTTAAGAAATATCACGTGTCACAATAAAATTGCTATATAAATATATTTTTAACACCGATAATTGTAATGATCCGTAGTGTATCAGATATAAGCCAAGCACCGCACGCAGGAGCTCCGGGTTCGAATCTTTCCGAAGGAATGTATTTTACATTTCGATTGTTTTTTTCCATATTTTTTAGGTTTTATTACGCTTATTAATTGAATAAATTATTTAGGGATATACGCTGGGAATAGCACAATGCATTAATAGACGCAATGGAGTGTTTATACACTGACTGATTTAGGGATAGGCACCGAGGAATGTACATGCATTTACTAATTTAAGCATAGGTGCAGTGAAGCGTACATACATTTACTAGCTTAGGGATAGGCGCAGTGAAGAGCACATACATTTGCTAATATAGGGATAGGCGCTGTGTAGTGTACATGCATAGACTGAGGGTTTTGGTATGGGGTGGCAGTCATTTCTATTTATTTAATGGAAAATCCTATTTAATTTTATTTAAGTTTTTTACGTTTTTGTTTTTTAAAAATAATATCTTAAATTATCTTCATTTTACGGTATAACAAATATTGTTTATTTTGACATGTGATATTGTCAACCAATAAAAAAAACTTTCGGTAGGATAATTTTTATTTTTCCGCTACCGACTTTCGGTAGGCTATCCACGGCCTTAATTATACAAGTCACACGGTAATGAATTCCATATAAAATATTTCCATATTTGTACTTCTTAAATGTTTATTAAGTACAAAATACTTTCACTAACTGTAAAATATCTTGAAGCAATCCCGTGGGTTTCCTTATGCCAACGATTTTGCATGCACTGCAAAACTAATTAATGCAACTAATTACAATAAAATTAGTTGTTTATTTATCATGTTCCGTAACAGGAGGAGGCAGGAGCGCTGAAAAATTCAACACTAACGTAACAATTTTAAGTTAGATATTTCAATAAAATACGTCAAATGCTGACTATTAAACTTTCGCATTGGTGTTAAAGAATTATGAAATACAACTTTTCGAATAATTAAAAAATTTTACAAATAAAAATTGAAATAATTTTTTTTTTAAACTGTGCATTTAAATAAAATATATCAAACTTTTAAAATATATCAAAGTTATTATACCAATTAATTATATTAATTGGTATAATAACTTATATAAAAAGGTATAAATATTTTAATATAAAAAGGTATAAATATTTTAACAGCTTGTTAAAATATTTATACCTTTAAGTAATTATAGCCTAACCCTTTTCTACTTTCATAAATATTTTTATCCATTTTTGAATTATTTAGTTTTGTATATTAGTAATTTACCCGCATTAATGAAGATCCCCCTGGGGAAGTCTTTTTTTAAACGACAAAGACGCAGCTCTGGGGCGCATTTGTTTTAGGAACCTTATGCTATGATAAAGATAACATAACAACTTTGTGATGATAACATAAAAACTTTGTGATGAAAACATAAGAGCTTTGTGATGATAACATAAGAGCTTTGTGATGATAACATAAGAACTTCTTGAAGAACCTAAACAATCAGAGCAAAAATAAAATGTTTATAGAATGTTTTTATAAAGTGAAAATAAACATTTTTTTTAGTTAAATATTATTATTAATAAAATGTTTGAAGTTCTAATTGGAGTTTAAAATATATCTTACTAAAAACGAATAAAACAAGGATATGCGTTTAATATATGTGCTTCAAAGTTTATTTTATTCATTTTATATGAGTAAAATAGATAATAGATAAAAAAAAAAAATAGTTTATAATTTAAACAGATAGATTTTATTTAACTATATTTTAGTATTTTTTATCAAAAATGGAGGATTAGATTGCATTTCTAAACATACAAATAGTATCAGCGTTTACAGCTTTTGTTGTCATATTAACCCAGAGATTATCAACTCGTTGAGAAAAGCAATATTTGCGAATATCGAGTTGACATCGTTGCTTGCGTATCTTATAAAAATGACCGCGCGTATAGTCATTATTGCTAATTTCAAAAACAAACTTTTATCAGTACAAACCAAATCATGCAATTTTAAAACTATAATTATATAACTAGACCATGTTTTATATGTGTCTGAGCTCAAGAGAATTCAAACCAAGCACCTGTAAGCTGCTACGATAGCCTAAAGTCTTTTTTGAACATTTTTAAGAGACTTTAACAACTTGATTTGGTGCGACGACCAAACTGTGTTCTACTGTGTCCTGTCAAAGCATAGTGAAACAGAAAAACTGATTTTGTCACAAAACTAACTTAATTAGTGGTTATGCATTATAGTTGAAATGTATACTAATATGAGGTTTGTTTTTCCTACGAAGTTTGTTTTTCCTATGAAGTTTGTTTTTCCTACGAAGTTTTTGTTGTTGTTGTCGTTGCTGTAGTATCTAATTTAGACAAAAACTTTTTATTTTTATACTAAATTCACAACACATTTGTTATAGGTGCTTTGTGCATTTAGAACACCACTATCAACACCATAAACCAGATACAACACCACCACCAACAAATAAATAGTTAGTTTTAACTTTATTATTAAAATAACAAAAGTACTTTAGCTAAAATAAAATACTATAATTGTTCACATGTTTCTGTTTAACAAGAAGTAGTTTACACGTTATGATTTACGCTTGATAATTTTAATATACTAATAAAAATTTATTCCTTAGATGTTCCAAGTTTGGCAACTCTTCCCTATAGGGAAGATTTGCATAATTTGGAACCTCTAAAGGATGAATTTTTATTAACCGAAGATGACTTAACTATAAAGACATTTATGATTTGATTAATACAAGCAGGCAACTACTATAATTTACACTAAAGTTTTTAATTCTTTTTTGTAATTATTAAGATCCATGCGGCCTTATAACAGAGCACCGCGGAAGAGCATTTAATAGGAAGTTTACTCCGCCACGGCTGCTTTTGGTTAACTTAATTGATTGGAAATAGAGTCGGTTTTGTAAAGAACAAAATTAATTTGTAAAGTAACAGTATTACTTTGTAAAAAACAAATTTACTTTGCAATAAAGCAAAATTTCTTCATAAAGAGCAACATTACTTTGTTAAGAACAATATTATTTTGTAAAGAACAAATTTACTTTACAAAAAAAATTACTTTAAAAAATATAACATTACTTTGAAAAGAACGACATTAGTTTTTAAGAACCACATTACTTTGTAAAGAACAACATTACATTATAAAGAAATCAGTCTTAATGCAGTATGGTTTAATAAATTCTACATTCTAACTGATACTGAATAACTTTCAACCGATTAAATTTGTAGAATTTTTTTTGCTTCTTTGACGGTATTATCTTTGGGATAGGGCCGGTTCAAGGATTTTTTTTGGTTTATGCGAGATCAAGGTTTGGCTCCCCCTTTTTATGAAAAAAAAGTGTGTGTTTATTATAAACTTATCATATAATGTGTTTTGGTAAATTGCGCATATTTATTAAAACCCTTAAAATTAAATAAAAACATAATTTCCTATAAAATACTTATAGTATTTAACATTAAAAATAACTACAGAATTGTAAGCGTAATAAAATACATTTTTGATCAAAGAAATTAACAAATACATATCGTACAGTTTATATTGACAAAAAATAAAACTAATCATCAAGTAAAAAACTTTTCTTGATCAAAAATGCTACATACACATTAGAAATGTCAATCGAACGGTTTTTTGTAATATAAGACCGTGTTGTTTTCGGATAGTCATCATTTGCATTGCAACATTAGGGCAGCTATCATCAATGTGGTATCGCAAAAGTTCAAGAGTATCTATCCTGGTTTCCCAACGGGTTTCACTTAGAGGTTTTACAGTCAAATTGTTTACGTGATTTGTTAATATGTATCATCCATGGGACGATCCAGAAAAAAAGTCAAATTCTGAAATGTGTTCAACTAGTTTTAAAAAATTTCCGATGTTTTTTTTGAAAACTGTTACACTTGTTCTACGAAAATTTCATCCTTAAGTACCAAGCAATCCAAAATATTTCATCCTTAAGTACCAAGCAATCGCACAATACTAAGAGAGGAGTGAAAACTAAACTTTTGTTTTAAAACAAAACTTTTTATTGTATTTGTATTTAACTTATTTTTTCAAGAAAAAGCTAAACCTGAAATAAAAATGGTGAACTAGACGTACACCTACTGGTATTTGGTTGTAAATTAAAACTCTCATCTAAAGGAAAATATTCAGCTTTAACTGCTCATCAGGAATTTTCTCCTGTTCCTATAGTTTGTTTTATTTTCTGTTTGTTATGATTTATAAAAATGGTTAAAAATAAATCCAACATCAAGATAAGTATGTTTCAAAAAAGAACGCAATATTATTAAGGCTTAAATAACGATGATCTATTATCTCTCTAAATTATTATTATTTTGTATTTATTAACTAACTTGATCGTAATAAACGCACTCTTATATCAAATCTTACCAGCAATTGACGCTGGTTATCGTTTGGATTGATTTAATCAATGTCTTTTCTTGTTTTTTTTGTCTTCTCTCTCCATATCTGATTTGTATTTTATATAAAAGAAACCCGAAGGTTTCTTTTTGCCGCCGTGATGATTCACAAACTTATTTTTTTAAATAATTAACTAACTACTACTTTTTGCTGTAATTATTTTTTCATTGAAGTACAAAGCAAATACATACAAAATCAATAGTTTAAAATATAAATTATCGCGCTCCTAAATGTAAGTTTATAATAAACATTTAAAATTAAAAAAACACAATATAAACAAACAATTAACTCACAAATTTTTCAACAATTAACTAACTACTACTCCTCAATTATTTTTTCATTGAAGTGCTTAGCAAAAATGTACAAAATCAATAGCCTAGCATATAAAATTTGGCGGCCATAATATATTAACAAATTAGTACTTGTACCCATTATGGACGCCAAAAATTATATTTAAGCTTATTTTTTTTTTAAATCAAAATTATGATTTTTTAAGAAAAAAAAAAAGAAAAAAAAGATCTACTAAGCCAGCGCCTCCGCCACCCCGGCGCTCTATGCGTCGGCATAATTTACATGAACCTTATGCCGCCCCTATTTTTGGGATAAAAATTCCTATGACACTTAGTTCAAATCAAAAAATAAGATATAAAACAGCAAGTAGAATCTGCTGCTTAATATCTTTGATTTGGATTTTTAGTCCACAATCAAAAACTAGTGCATTAGATTCAGCAACTCAAAAAGCTTTTTCATTAATAGTAGAACTCTAGTATAAATAAATAGAACAAACCTTTAATAGAATAAAACTTTTAAACTAATTTTTAGAAATTACAGTTATGTAATTGTTATGTTATGCACTAAATACATTAAAATCATGTGTAATTCAATAAATATTATCTTAGATTATGGCTTTATCATTTGCTAAACGTGCGCAAGCAAAATTTTTACTGTCGGCTAAACTTTACTTATTCTTTTATTCAAAATTAAAACCAAAAGTGTAACTTTTTTTCATTAAATTCATTCCAAGGCTCTGCTGCCTTCAAAGTGAGTTTAATTAAAAAAAGAGGATACATAGGTACTAATAAAATTTTATGATTTTATTTGAAAATTTGAAAAGTGTATATCAAAATTAGGCAAAAAAGTATAAGGCAAACAAGTACATAATATCCAAGTATATGATGATATGTGCATGGCATGTAATGTATGATATGCAATACTCATTAAACTTGGTTTACGGCTACGTTCGACGAAAAAATTCTTTTTTTTTTTAAATCTCTCTCTAGCAAAGTGAACTTGCTTTCAATGAACTTAAAACGTTTTAGAAACGTTTTAAGTTATTTAGAAAATTTTGTACTCAGCTAATACTCTTGTTTGTTTAACGCAAATATTTTTTGACAATACCCCAATGCTTCTCGTAATGTAATGCGTAATTGCAGTTTTTTTGATTTTAAAGTTGATGCATGATAACCCTGGAAACAAAGACCTTTTTGTATCAATTTTTTATGACGATTTATTAAGTACAACAATATGGTGTATTGACATCTATTTTCATATAAAGTAAATTTCCTAATTTAAAAAAATTCAAAACAAAATACGCTTGCTTTTTTTTCTTGCACAATTCTTCATAAAATGTAATAAACTCATTTTTGAAAAAAACAAAAAAAAACGGTATAAAAGATCTTAAAAATTCAAAGTTAAAAAGACATTGAAGACATTAGTTTTCAATGTGCATTATTAACATTCGTTTTCTAAGCGCTCTCACATTGATGGCATTAGTCTTCTAAGTGCACTCATATTGAAGACATTGAAACCAGAGCTGATCAAAAACGAGAACATTGAAGACATTTAAATCTGCATAACATATTAAGTTATTGCTGTTTCGTTTTACCTGCAGTCTTTTTTTGTATTTAAATACACTCTATTTTGTATGCAATAACGCAAATAATTCTATGCAATAAACTGACTACAATAAAAATTACGGAAGGATCCACGTGACCTATTTTATACAAATAAGAATGTTACTATTGATTCAGCAAATATAAGTTATTCAATAATGCTAAGTTCTTCTTGGTCTCTGCTGTCGTTTACGTGCGACAAAACATAACTTAAAAATTTCTTAAAAGCATTTTTAATGCCTTCAGAATCTTCTTCAAAGTTTGTATTTACTAATGAAACTCGTCCTAAGTTTCCATCTAAAAATAAAATACAAAAATAAAAAATATATGACAGGCAAGAATTAAAACAAAATGTTTCTAAAAGTTACTCACATTACACCCATTAGAGTAAATGTTTCTAAAAATTACTATTATTACACCCATTAGAGTAAATATTTCTAAAAGCCCATAAGAATAACCCATTCACAAAAAACTAAATAAATTAAAATAATCCTTTTTTAAAACATTGCAAATTAAAACAATGCCAAATAATCGCATGGCTTGTTGGTCACATGTGCCAACTTACCACTATTCAAATTGACATTATTATATAAACTGCACACTGCAGACATGCAAAACTATAAAAGAAAAGCGACAGGGATATAACTCCTCAAAATATTATAAAAAATTCTGCTGAAGCTATTTTAATAGAAGGAAAGTTTATTTGAAAAACATCAATAACTTTGAAAGAATCCTGTCCTGATTTCTAAGACAACAAGCCAACAAAAAAGCACTATATAATAAAAAATTTAGAGAGGTAAGCTTAACCATTTTTTATGTACATATATGTATGTATGTATGTATGTATGTATGTATGTATGTATGTATGTATGTATGTATGTATGTATGTATGTATGTATGTATGCATGCATGCATGCATGGATAAATGTATGTATGTATGTATGTATGTATGTATGTATGTATGTATGTATGTATGTATGTATGTATGTATGTATGTATGTATGTATGTATGTATGTATGTATGTATGTATGTATGTATGTATGTACAGTATTGGACAAAACATTTGCAACCATCATCGAACAATTCTAAAAAGTGTTCCTAATTTACATGTCTTAAATACCACAGCAAACAGTTTGATTACCACCTTACCACAGCAAACAGTTTATGAGTCTGAAGTCATAGCATGCCATAACATGAGCAATCAGCTGATAAGTGACAACACACAGGCAGAATTTCATTGACAAGTGCCATTTTACAGCGGACAAAACAAGTGCGACTTTTTTAATTTGTTTCATTTTCTTTAGTCTGGTCCGCATCAACGTCACGAAAGTTTTTTAATAATTAAAGGAAGTATCAACAATTCGCTGCCTGTATTGGACCGAACAATCAGACGACATGCTGTTGAAGCCGGATTGTTTTCTCAACGCCCTGCAAAGAAACCGCTGATTTCACTAAAGAACCAGAAGAAAAGACTCATCTTATATTGACTGGAATGTGCAGAAATGGCGAACTGTCCTGTTCAATGATGAATCGAAGTTCAACATCATTGGGAGTGATGGCATTTGCCGTGTACGTTGACTGGCCGGAAAACGCTTGGATTTACGTTACTGCTGGAAAACGCTTCAGTTTACATTACTGCCATAAGACCGTGAAGCATGAAGCATGGTGGAGGCAATGTAATGGTCTGGAGGTGTTTTTCTGCTAACGGTCTAGGTCCAATACATCATAAAGATAGAATAGTGGACCGTTTCATGTATGAAAATATCCTGAAGGATGTTATGTTACCTCATGCTGAATAAAATATGCCAATAAAATGGGTTTCTCAGCAAGACAACGATCCGAAACACACTGCAAAAGTAGTTAAGCAGTGGTTTCAAGACAACCACCTATCATTGATGGATTAGCCACCTCAATCTCTGAATCTCAACCCTATCGAGAATCTGTGGGAGATTGTCAACCGCAGAATTAATCGTGAAGGTGTTCATAATAAGGATCAACTGCTCGAACAAATCTCAGGCAGCAATTCCACAAAGTGGAATTGCTGCCTGAGATTTGTTCGAATATGTATTTAATTGAAGGAGAGAGAGAAAGGCTATAATGTCTTATTTTTAATTCTTAATTTATTTTGTTTGTAAATTAGTTTAGATACCAAATATATGGATAGAATAACAACAGGACTTGCAAATGGTAAACCAATTGATAATCTTTAAACTGATTTCACGAAAACTTTTTATAAAGTGTTGCACAGAAGATTAGCACTAAAGTTTTGCACAGAAGATTAGTACTAAAAGCATATCCCATTGCATCTACGTTACTGAAGTAGATAAATTCTTTTTTAACTAATAGAAAAGAAAAGGGTTGCATTTGGAGAAAGTGTAAACATAGTAAGCAATGTACCACAGTGATGTAAGCTTGTAAGTCTTAAGGGTAAGGCAAAAAAATTTTATCTAGGGTATAGAAGAATATTTCGAATTTTTGATTAAAACGGTATGGTTTTATTTCTACCGTAAAAAAAGTATAACTTACATTTGAAATCGAATAAAATTTGGTTATGACGCAGTGCAGCGTTACTTTTATAAAAATTAAATTTAAACATTTTTGTTAAGTTTCATTGTAAAGTTTAAAAATAAATATCAGATAATAAATTATAATCAGATAAATGTTACTCATTTTATATATGTTTAATATTTATATCAAATAAAATAATATTTACTATTGTTATATCTACAATTTAACAAGTTTGATAAAAGGCGATAAGATGTGATTATACTATATATTTTTATAAGATGTGATTATACTACATATTTTAGAAAAAATGTTATTTATATTATCTAAAATATAAAAGTATATTACCTAAAATATCATAACATTATACTGCATATATAATATATAAGTGGTGCAGTGTAGCATTATTAAACTTTACAAATATTAAATTCAAAGTTGATTAATGAGATACAAATAAAAGTTAACAATAAATAGTAATAAATTGCAGAAAAATGTTCAAGGGAAAACGAGACTAGTGTGAATTGAGGGGAAAATGTAAGAAAAGAGCTAATAAAAAACCGCCATGTTAAGTTGCCTGAAAGCTAACTAGTATTGGCAAATCTACTTTCAGGAATTTCTGGATTTCTACCATTCCTATCTAGAAATGGAGAGCTAACCTTGGGCAGCATTACAACTTACATATGGAGTGCAAAGTCCTATGGCTTACCTTCTAGTTAGTGCACTTCGTTAAGTAAGTTAGACATTGTATGTCTAACTTACAAACAGAATAGCCGAGGCAAATTTTATACTTTACCATTAGTTATTTTACTAGAACCCATTAAAAATAAATAAATATGTGTACAAAAATTAAACTATGTAAACGCTGCAGAAGCTGTTCAACTCTTTAATTTAAGACACTCAGATAAAAAAAAAACAGTCTATTTATTCATGCATATTTATATATATGTATATATATTTATATAAGTATATGTGTGTGTGTATATATATATATATATATATATATATATATATATATATATATATATATATATATATATATATATATATATATATATATATATATATATATACATTTAGTTATTGTTTAAAAATTTACATAAAAATATACACACACATTTAAGCCATCAAGTTTTAGTGATTGCTTAACCATCTAAAACATGACAGCCAGATTTAAAACATGACAGCCATATTTTAGATAATTAAGCATTTTCTTGTAATTATATATATAAGCCATGTTTTAGATTACTAAGTAATCACAAACACATGAATCCTAAAAAACTATTATTAACTTACTCAGCTTAACAAGTGAAGATCCCGAATTACCAGACTTTGAGTGGGCAAAAACGATGCACTGCTGATCTTTTATACCTTGTTGCTTTGAAAAGTGAAGATACCTATTTAAAATAATATAATTTATATGATATTGTCACACTGTTTGATTTTAGATTGAATTTCAAAAGACTTTTCTTCAGATTTTACTCATATGTATATGTATGAATTAGAATGTGTTGAAAACAAAATCCTATTTGTTCCTTCTTTTTCAAAAATTGATATTTTCCGAAATCCAAAAAATAGTGTTTAAAAAACTGAATTTTTATCATTTTAAATATCTGCCATTATAAAAGTCAATAAAAACCACAGCAACAAGCAACTTCCAAAGGCCATCTTTATCTTCAAAATATGTTCAACTTAATTTATAAAATAGTTTAAATAGTTTTACTAGTAGAGCTCTAAACACAGTTAATGACGTGTTTAGAAGTATTAACTCTTAAAATTTCTTATATAAATTTTTTAAAACTTATATAAATTTTTCAAATACTTTTTATTATATTTTTACTTTATAAACGTTTATCTTAATAGAAAAAGTAGATATTAAATCATCCAAAGATAAATAGTGAATCTTTCAAGATAAAAAAATTATAATGAAATTAGAAATTTAGTTTGTTTTTGTTACTGTAACAAAACGGAAAACACTATCTTCGGAGTAAGCCATTATTGGTGACACTGGTTTGAGACTTTGATGAACATTAAGTATTAAGTTTTAATATAAATGCATCTCCTACTTAATTTGTTGCCATTGCAAAAATGCTCTTTTTGTAAGAAAAGGTTATTATATGATTAAAATGTTATCACATGAAAATGATCAAAGTTGTTCAAAAAATAAAAGACTTTGAACTGAAAGAGAAAAGTAGAAGAGAGTTACTTATAAAGATTGGAAGGATTGCATCAACTGAGGATCAACACAGTAAATACAATGCTTCTCCGCACATTTACTTTATGAACGAGCACAACGTTAACAGCAGCATCACTAAAACAGAACTTGAGTTGTCAACATCCAACAAAGACCTAGGCATTCCAATCTCTAACAACTTAAAGCATGAGAAGCAAGCAAAAATAGAAGTTGCCAAAGCCAATAAAGTCCTCGGAACCTTGAAAAACACATTTATCAGCAGAGATACCAAAATATGACACCAAAATAAAACACCTATATACCCCTACATCTTGAGTTTGCAGTTGCTGCCTGGTGCCCGCATCTTGAAAAAGATATAAATGTCATAGAATGCATCCAGCATCTGGCTACCAAAGTACCACACAAAATAAAGCGCTTCGATTACAAGACGCATCAAACTCAGCTCTCTACTAAATAGACATTTACACAGCAACCTCATAAAAAATTCAAAATTAAAAACAATATTAATTCAATTAGCTGGCATATTGATCCACCAAACATCCCACAAACTATGATCATTTAAGTACTTTCATTGTGAAATCAACAACTGCCTTGTTCGCTATAATTTCTTCAATAAGCGCGTCACTAACCCATGGAACTCACTACCAAAAGTCAGTGCTATTAGTGTTAATCTCTTTAAAGCAAAACTCAATCAGCTACCATAATTAGCCCAGTGCATCATTTTCCTTCCATCTTCCATATTTCATTAAAAAAAAACTAATGATTTTGTTCACAGCAAGAAAAGTCCGTGAAAATGATTAAAGTTGTTTGGAAAATTGAAAGAGACTTTGAATTGAAACAGAAAAGTAGAAGTGAGTTAATTATAAAGATTGGAAGGATTGCATCAACTGAGAATCAATGCTTATGACCAGTTTGTTGTATGGTATCAGATAAACACACAAAGTTTTTAACTTTGTGTGTTTATCTAATACCATACAACAAGAAATTCTATTTGAGTCTAAATAGAATTTCTGCATTAAAAGAATAAAATCATTATGCACAGTTTGCTTTCAACTAATTTGAAAGGATATTAGGCACCCATGCCCAAAACATCTGCTGTTCAAATGCTTTGAATCTTATTCTGCCCAAAGATAAAAAGATGTCAGAGCAAATAACTTAAACTGTTCTCATATTTCTAGTTAAGGATAAAAAATTTTACTAGTTAATTATTTATTTATAACGATTTGCTATAATATTCTATTTTAATTTAAAAAAATAGAAGGATCACTGCTACCTTTGGTGCAATAGCTCCAAACAAGTCTCTACTGATCCAAACAAGTCTCTACTGATACAAACAAGTCTCTACTGATACAAACAAGTCTCTACTGATACAAACAAGTCTCTACTGATACAAACAAGTCTCTACTGATACAAACAAGTCTCTACTGATACAAACAAGTCTCTACTGATACAAACAAGTCTCTACTGATATAAACAAGTCTCTACTGATACAAACAAGTCTCTACTGATACAAACAAGTCTCTACTGATACAAACAAGTCTCTACTGATACAAACAAGTCTCTACTGATACAAACAAGTCTCTACTGATACAAACAAGTCTCTACTGATACAATATTTGAAAAAATCATGATCTGCCTGAAAATGTAGTTTATTATATTCTTAGAGATTTACAAAAAGATCTTTGTTGTCTAGGTGTTTAAATGTTTTATAATTTTAACAGCAATATATTGAATAAGCTAATATAATATTCAATAAGCTATTTTCAAAAACTTTATAATACAGTATGTTGTCAGTTGTTGCAGTATGTTGTTATAGTCATTGGAATTTTACAACTAGGTGTTGAAAAGTATTCAATTACTACCCATTGGGCATTTGTTTTTGAAAGTTACGTTCTGAATGTGTTTTAAACGTCTTTTAAACGCTCTTTACATAAGAATGTTTAAAAGACGTTTAAAAGACATTTAAAATACATTTAGAACGTAACTTTTAAAAACAAATGTCCACTGGGTACAGTTAAGAAGCAGTCTCATGCTCTAGATAAGTTTTACAGTTACAAAAAAGTTGTATTTTTAAATGGCAATGAAGATGTACTTGAAAACTCATTGATGAATGTTGTTTAAACTGAGGATCTCACCAGACTTGTTGAAGAAACCTGCTCTTTATGTGGATTAGATGACTAATCCACATAAAGACCAGGTTTCTTAACTTAAAAATTAGGAATAGGTAACAACCTTATATATATATATATATATATATATATATATATATATATATATATATATATATATATATATATATATATATATATATATATATATATATACATGTATATATGTATATATATATATATATATATATATATATATATATATATATATATATATATATATATATATATAGAGAGAGAGAGAGAGAGAGAGAGAGAATGAGAGAGAGAAAGAGAGAGAGAGTGAGAGAGAGAGTTTTATTGTCGTATCTCATTTTATGTGTATATATTGGTTACTTTGTCACGAAAAAAAGGTTTTTTTCATTTTACAAGTTTTAATAAACCCACAAGCAAAAATGTATATAAAGTGTCAACTCATATTTTTTTAATATTACAATGTTAACACTAAAAAAGTAAAAATCGAAAAATTTGAAAGAAACCGCATATTACAATGTTACAACTATTTAGGTTAAAATGTTATATCTTGTTATGTAAAAATGTTGTCTCATTACAAGCCTTCCTAGAAAGCATGTGCGATTTTACAACTTGTTTGTCAATGCATAAAGTGTTAAGTTTAGACAAGTTGGCCACAGCCTTTTGAGATATTAGGATCATTGAAAAAAAGTTTAACAAAACTTCAAGGAAAAAAAAAAAGTTGTTACATCATTTTTTTACTTTTATTTTTGTATTTTTATGATGGTTGTTATTTTTAGTAACAAAGTTTGATACAAATCAAAGGAAAAAACAGTGATATATATATTTAACAAAAATAAAAAGACTGACAAAACACAGTGTTATAAAATAGGCTCTAACCTTAACTTTCTGACCTGGGAAAACCCTTTGGTGGAATGATAGCCCATACAATGGGGATCACTCAGATATAAGTATCAAAATCAGATTACAACGCCCTGCCAAGTTATTTCCATTTGAATTTTCATCCTAGTTAACACATAACATGTTTTAAACGTTTAATATACATATTAATACGTATTAAAACGTATTATAAACATATTAAACATATGTCTTACATTTAATAGAATTCTTTATTGATTGCACAAACATGCAAAATTAGAGCTTATTTTCCTTTTTAGAGTATTAAAAATCTCTAATTTATATAAATATAAACAAGGAAAGCAAAATTTTATATTCTTGATATTATACAAGTAACAAACATAAAATATATTCAGAAAAAAAACTGTTTCTTTTTAATGGAACAAATTCAAAAATAATTTATTCATAAATTCCTTCTTAAAATGACTTTTCGCAAACAATGTTTACTATTGAAGTCAACAATGTAAGATTGCAACATCTTACTGTATTCTGGATGATGATTGGGCCTTTTATACCTTTGCCAATTTATCTGAAAGTCGTGATGCATTGCTTCTGTTGCCTGTTCTGAGTAAAGCCCAAAAGCCTGACCATGTCTGTCAATGAAATCTTTCACATGAAAAAATACTGCATGGACCTTGGGTGTTACAGACACATTTTGCAATGCCAAATAAGACACTCTGAATGGTTTAATCATTTGTGGATAGTTTGGATTAAGGTTGCAACCAAAACAGCCAGATACTATCGCATTGAATTTTCGAAAAGCATCAATGAATGGCTGCATAGCATGAGTGTTTTTCAGCAATTGATTGAAGAATATCAATATTGTGTAGCAGCTTTCTGGACTCATTTCCTGCAAAATGTCCACCATGGTAAGGTTGTTGTTTAATGTGTGATGCATCAGTCCAAAGAGTTGCTCAAGGAAAAACTTGAAGTAGCACAGCAAAAAGATGATAAAAAACTCCAATTAGGGGATGCAATTCCATAAGAGGAAAAAAATTCAAAACCAGAATGTCTCCAGGTAGTTTAAATATTGGAGAATGAACAACATTTTTGTAGTCAGGAGCTTTTCTAATGTTGTAACCAGCTGACTTGAATAGTGAGAAATTTTTTTCCAGAGATTCAAAAGTCATTAATTTCCATCGGTTTACAAATTCTTTTGAACCAGATTCACACCAGGTGCAGGGATGTGCACTTAAGTGTGCTTGAAGCTCACAAATAATATTAGGAAGTTTTAGATCACAGGGAAAACTCCTGGTCTTTCAATTTCATTAACTCAAATACTTGTAAAACGTTAGTATAATTTTCTTGAAGCTCTTCACAGACAGCAATGATGAGTTGTTGTTTTACACCAGTGTCCTTAAAAACATTGCTTGTGCAGTTGAGTAATACTGGGGGAATGCAAGGTTCATGATTTAATTCAATAATTCCCAAGCTAACTTTTAGAAATCCTCGTCCATCAGTTCTAACCTTTACAATGTGATTTTTTGATGTACTTCTCAAGGCTATAATATCATTTTTCAGCTCATGAAACTCCTTTCAATGTATGAAAGTCCTCACACATCCAGCGTGATCTTGAATTAATATCATTTTTCAGCTCATGAAACTCCTTTCAATGTATGAAAGTCCTCTCACATCCAGCGTGATCTTGAATTAATAAACTTGTGAAATGATGTACAAGTTGGTTGCTGAATTAGTCAAATTTTATGGCATACTTTAAACTGCTAACTTCTTAACACTATTGTTTGAAAACCATGTGTTTGCTTAAACTTTAGCAAGGTTTTTTACACTTACTGATGAATTTGGAGAGAAAAGTTGTCTAGCTGATGACGAACCTATAGTGAATACAAAAAGTTAAAAATCCAACCTGTCATTAATTTGAACTATAAAAAACTAAATTCATACTTGATGTTTCTGGAAGCATTCTTCCACCATAAGGTTGACTTAATCAAACAGTTCCAAGTGGAGAAGGAGCTTTATTTGAAACAACAAGAGCTGCAATTCTTTCTGATGCCAAGGAATCTTTTGCTACTACAGCAACAAGATTATTTCTCAAAGTGTCTTTTGTACAGTTGTGAGACAATCCTTTGCCAATAATTCTGAATAATAATAAGTCTATGCATCTTTTTTCTACTGTTAAAGAAGGTGTTCTGGCTGCTGAACTTTGAGCGAATTCAATTTTCATTTGACAATTGTGTCTCAAGTTGAACAGATCAAGCAGTCACTGTTAGAGTCTCGAGTTTCCGGTTGAAGTTTTATAGTCTCAAACTTATACAATTATGGAAGTGTGATGTCCTCTCCACTTTCCTGCCTTCTTAAACAAGAGCGACATTTTTCACTTATTCAAAGTGTAACTTTGTCATCATTAAAGTTGATTTTTTCTTTCAGTATAATCTGACATCTTTCTTTTAGATTTGATGTTAGCTCTTGTTGACATTTACTAAAACAAAGAAAACAAACAGATTTCCTACATTCTTGGTGGTTTTTAGCAGTATTTGGCATTTTCGGTAAAATTAGATGTGCTCAATTTAGCTCTCATTAGTAAAGTAAATACAACATGCTTTTACTCAGAATTCATAAGTAGAAAATTATTCCAAAATAATTTATGTCATAATTAAATACCTTTCATATTAATTAAAACAGTTTTTACAAACTAATTATAGTTTTGGGAAACAAACGAAATGACAGTAAAATAAGCTGTCATTTCGTTTGTTTGTGCAATCAATATATTTATCTTGGTTACTTGTATAATATCAAGAATTTATTATTTTGCTTTCCTTGTTTATATTTATGTAAATTGGAGATTTTTAATACTATAAAAAAAAAAAAAAGCTCTCATTTTGCATATTTGTGCAATCAATAAAATATTTTATTAAACACAACAAATGTTTAATTAATTTGTCTATAATACATTTTATTACATATTAATACGTATATTAAATGTTTAAAACACATTTTGTGTTAACTAGGATGAAAATTCAAATGTAAATAACTTGCCAGGACGTTGTAATCTGATTTTGATACTTATATCTGAGTGATCCCCATAGTAACAGCTATCATTCTACCAAAAGGTTTTACCGGGTCAGAAAGTTAAGGTTAGAACCTATTTTACAACACTGTGGAAAATAAAAAGACAAGTTTCTTAGGTAAAAATAATAAAAAATCGCTAAAATATAAGATATTTGATTGTATTTACTAACCCCATTAGAACAGTTGCCTAATATCTAAAAACATACAAACAGCTATAGTCAAATTGTCTAAACTAAATATTTCATGTGTAGAGGTGTAAAATGACGCGCACTTCCTAGAAAGACTTGCATTATGAAAAATAATGGAAATTTTGTATGTAGCATAACCTAACTCAGTTACGTAATGTAACTTTGTAAATTCTAAAAAATCTCAATATTAAAAAAGTTATTTAGCTTTTGGGGGAAAGTCTGGTTTGCGGTACTTTTACTCTATGCATTATTCATACATTTTATTATAAAATTGGTAAAATGCGTTATTTTACTTTTGAAAACTTTGAAATGCTACTTAAACCTAATAGTTACTCCATGTTCTATGATGTATATTGTAAATCTATTTTTTAATGTTTCTATTTTTATTATTGCATTTTTTTTTTTTTTCACTGCTTACATAGGTCAAAATATCAATATTAAAAAGTTTTTTTTGGTAATGTAATGATGTTATTACTAGAATAAAAGATTTCTTTTAATATTCCATTTCATTCATGACACAATAAATAATTTATAGTTCTATAATAACAAAAATTAATAATTAGTAAACACAAGACTTACCAACTTTCTAATTCTTTTTCATGAGCAGTTACATCAGGATTGTAAACAAATATCAATCCATTGGCACCTTTTTGCAATGCTGGCCAACATCCTTCATATCTTAACATGTATATATATATATATATATATATATATATATATATATATATATATATATATATATATATATATATATATATATATATATATATATATATATATACATACATATATATATATATATATATATATATATATATATATATATATATATATATATATATATATATATACATATATATATATATATATATATATATATATATATATATATATATATATATATATATATATATATATATATATATATATATATATATATATTGCATAATGTTTTTTGTATAATAATGTACATAAAAATCTTTTGTTTGTTGAACAGTAATCAATTTTATAAAAACAAATATTTTATATAATAGATCTGATATGTTTAGTAAACATAATAAAAAAATACAACTTTTTGTTGGTACTCAGGGTTTTTATTATTATCTTTTAAGTTCCAACTTCTTTTGACAGTTCTGTATCTTTTTATATTTGGGGATATTAAATGATTTTAAATGGTTGGCATATCTAAGTTTAAAAGGTGTTTCACTAATACCAATGTTTTATTTTTTTATTGAAGGGAAATGATAGTTGCTTGATATACAATCTTGTTGGTCAAGCAGTTGAGTAAAGGATAATTGTTTTTATTAAGGCAGTTGCAGTTATTTTTATTAAAGGTTGGAATTTTGTCTAAAATGTGTTTGTTGTGATTTTTAATACTATATAAAGGAAAATATTGATATTATATAAAATTGAATCAATAGTTTAAGAAAATCTGAATTTAAGTTTTTTTATCTCTATATTTTTATGATATGCAATTCAACAATCAGAATGTTATTTGAATAAGTTCTTTTTGTTACTTTTAGCCCAAACTATTTTATTCTACATTTTACTTGAAAGGGCTATTGTGTTTACTGTTGTTACTATTTTGATGTTTGATACTATTTACTGTTGTTACTATTTTGATGTTTATTTTTGATTACTCCTCATCCCACAGATTTAACTCTTTCTGATGAACAATTTGTAGCTTGTACAGCAAAAAGATCATGTGCAACTTTAGATAATAAAGGGAAAATGTTATATTTGTTCTTCTAATAAAGAATAGGACAATCTAAACATTCCAATGTTTTCTTTTCAGTGTACGCAGTAATTTCAAATTTTAATTGCTGATCTTAAGTTCTTCTCTATGGAAGGGTACAATTTTGAGAAACATTTTCAAACATTTTATTTAAAACTCCATTTGTTTCTGATGAGAAATTAGTTCCCTCTTAAAAATAAATACTTAAATTGTACTTTTTTCCAGATACCATTAAGTAAGATTCAACAACTTGCATATCTGCCAAGATAAACATTACTGATTTAAATCAAAGGTCTAAGAAAGTAGTGATAAGAAAAATGTCTTCAATTAATTCAAACTTGATTTCCAAATACGTAATAAGATCATCAACAAATTTACTATCCTTCTTTTACCATTAAGCAAAAGCAATGGATAAACTAAACTAATGTTCACACTTTTTTCTGCACTTAGAATAGAGTGGCTTCAGATACTGAATTTAGAATAGGAGTGATAATTGTTATTAATTGCACTAATATTTCAGTTAGACAAGTCAGTTAGACAAGTTTCATACAGTTTTTTTTTTCTGTGTGCACTCAACTAAAGCAAGTTCTATAAAACTATGACTTTTTAAAATCCATCCCAATAAGTTAGAAGTGTTGTTAAAGCATGTTTCTATATTCAATGGAGGCTTTGACTCAGGTTTTCCTTGAGAAATCTTTTTGAGAGCTGTTTGTCCGACCAATGATGAGTGAAAAAATTCAGCTACTTTATGAACTTAACTAATTAGTATCACAAGAATTGGTTGGGTGTGGATATCTGATTTCACACAAAGTTGGAATTTATAAGCATAGCAGCCTAGTCAATCAATTCCAAGAAGTTTAAGTGTGAATGGCATACTAGGAGCAGTGCCAATTGTAGCTTGCAAAATATTATATGAAGTCAAGTCAATTTTCGACAGCACTTTTTTATAATTTCTTTAGTGGAAGTTTAGCTTTCTACAGCCATTTTTCAAAATGCCTTAAGATAAAAAAAATCAATTTTGACTTTTTTAAAAAATAATTTAGTCTACAAACATTATTGAATACATATTTTCAAAGAGTCCTGAAAAAATTCATAAAAATTTTTTGTTTCAAAAAATGTTTCACAAAAAGTTTCGGTTAGTAAATACAATCAAATATCTTATATTTTAGCGATTTTTTATTATTTTTACCTAAGAAACTTGTCTTTTTATTTTCCACAGTGTTGTAAAATAGGTTCTAACCTTAACTTTCTGACCCGGTAAAACCTTTTGGTAGAATGATAGCTGTTACTATGGGGATCACTCAGATATAAGTATCAAAAGAGTTTTTTTTTTAATTTTGTTTTTCTTGAAACATATAATAAGCATACTAAGGCATTTTGAAAAATGGCTGCAGCTTTGTGACAAGTATTTATTATTTTTAGATTTACAACTGATAAACAGCATGATTGTAAAACCCACGACGATGTAACATAGTTTTCTGACAACCAGAAACAAGAAAATTATAAAGTGATCAAAAGTGATGGTAGTTTGGAGATAAACTGCCATTTTATACTTTGTTGGAAGCTATTATATAGACCATCAACCATATCGCCCAAATTTCGAGATAAAGTGGTCAGGTGTGGTTTATGATATTGAACTTGAGTAAATACAGAGCATAAATTTATAAAGCCGGATTCAAAAGCTGTCTCAAATGATCTTCCATCTTTAATCATAAATCTAAGCACTGCACGATCATTTCATTATTTTTTAATAACTGTATCTATTTGAGGTCCAATAAAATGTGAGTTTAATGAAGAGCCTGACAATTTTTCAATTATGTTATTGAAATTCTTTTTTTTTTTAAACAGATCCACGTTTTTTAGATGTTTCTTCATGTAGCTTTTTATAGTCATATTTTACATGGTTTCATAGATGAGATAAAGTTCCAGTTTTCTGAACAGAATACTTTTTATTGCAATTTTTCTGTTTGCATTGCCAAAATATTACTTTTTTTCAAAGAATTCTTTAACTGCAAATTTTTTGGAAGTCATTTTTTAGCAAAAATATTAACAAGACTATTTAAAGTAAAATTAGAAATATGTATCAAAAAGTGAAATGATTAACAGCTTTTTTATTTCTAGTTTGTAGCACTCAAAAATATTCAAATTAAAATTACTTTAAGTAAAAAGCAAAGCCAAAAAGTACAGAAGCAAAACTACAGATGTTTAACTAAACAGTTGAAGCATTACTACTTTGCGCTCAGCTC